AGATGAGGTTTAAAAAAAGAAAAAGCAAACACAGCATGGTGTTGGGGCATGTGCTCAGTGTCCAGCAAATGGTAGTGCCGTTTGTTACTTTTAATAATAGCTTCCCTTTTATTTATTTTTTATCCTCTCCCAGGGACATTTTTTGCATTTATCTTTAGATAGAGCGGGAGGGGAGAAGGGGGAAGAGACAGAAAAATATCGAGGTGAGAGAGACACATCGACTGGTTGCCACCCACACAACCCCAACTGGGGCCGGGGACAAACTGCATCTGAGGTACATGCCCTAAGCGGAAACCAAACCCAAGACTCTCCGGTCCGCGGGCCGACGCTCTAACCGCTGAGCCAAACCGGCCAGGGCTAACCTCCCTTTTAAAAGATCCTTCAGGACTGTTAGTTTTCCTGAGCCTTCTGGGGAGCACTGGGAGGAGGTTAAAATCAGAGGTTTTCTTCTTGGAACCCAGCCCTGGAAGAACAGTGGCAGAGAGGATACTGAGACCTGATGATTCCATCATTTCCATCTTCAGTGCCTCTAGGGCAGCCTTTTTCATCTCGTGGCACATATAAACTAATTAATAAAATTATGTGGCATACCAAAAACATATTTTTTGTAGATCTGACAAAAAAAATAGCTATATATTTGATTTACAAATAATAACAATAATACTAATTACCTACCCTTTTTGCTCTAAAGTGACTTTTTAAAAAACCAGTTGCCTATACTTGTGTATAAGGATTTCTGATACTAAGAAGTAACCAATCAGACACAACCTTATTATGCAACGTGTCTAATATGATGCAACTCTTTATGTGACCTATATATTTATGATTCAAGAAAAGGCATTCACACTGGACGGCTACTGTTGTGTTGGTTGTTGTCTTTTTTTTTTTTTTTTTTATCTTTATTGTTGAATTTATTACAGATGTTCCTCATTTTTCCCCCATTGACACCCTCCTCACCACTCCCGCCCCCTCCTGCCTTTTCCGACACTGTTGTCTCTGTCCATTGGTTATGCATATAAGTTCTTTGGTTTATTTCTTCCCACGCCCAAACCCCCTTCTCTTTGAGGTTTGTCAGCCTAGCAACCAATTTGTTCTTCTTAATCCCTTTACCTTTTTCACCTATTCCCCCAACCTCCCTCCCATCTGCCAACCAACAAAATGTTCTCTGAATCTATGAGAATGTTTCCGTTCTGCCTGTTCATTTTGTTTGTAGATTCCATTGTCGATAGATATGTATTCATTGCCATTTTGTTTGTTCATATATTTTATCTTTTTCTTCAACAAGACCCTTCAACATTTCATATAATAACGGTTTGGTGGTGATGGACTCCTTTACTTTTTCTTGTTTGGGAAAATCTTTATATGGCCATTGATTCTAAATGACAGCTTTGCAGGATAGAGTAATCTTGGTTGTAGGTTCTTGCTTTTCATCACTCTGAATATTTCTTGCCACTCCCCTCTGGCCTGCAAAGTTTCTTTTGAGAAATCAGCTGACAGTCTTATGGGAACTCCCTTTAGGTATCTAGCTGCGTTTCTCTTGCTGCTTTTAAGATTCTCTCTTTGTCTTGAACCTTTTGCATTTTGATGATGATGTGTCTTGGTGTGGACCTCTTGGGGTTCATCTTGTTTGGGACTCTCTGTGCTTCCTGGACTTGTATGTCTGTTTCCTTCACCAAGTTAGGGACGTTTTCTGCCATTATTATTTCCAATAGGTTTTCTATTTCTTGTTCTCTCTCTTCTCCTTCTGGCACCCCCAAGATGGAATGTTAACATGCTTGAAGTTTTCCCAGAGGCTCCTTACACTATCCTCATTGTTTTGGATTCTTTTTTCTTTTTGCTGTTCTGATTGGGTGTTTTTGCTTCCTTAGATTCCAAATAGATGGTTTGCTTCTTGGCTTTACCTACTCTACTATTGAATCTGTGTAAATTATTCTTTATTTCAGTTAATGCCTCCTTCATTTTTGACTGGTCCTTTTTTATGCACTTGAGGCCCTCACTAAGTTCGCTGAGGTTCTCACTAAGTTCATTGAGCGTCCTTATAAGCAGTATTTTGAACTCAGCATCTGTTAGGTTGCTTATCTCCATTTCGCTTAGTTCTTTTCCTGGGGTTTTGTTCTCTTCTTTCATTTGGGACCTGTTTCTTTGTCTCCTCATTTTGGCAAGAACTGTAGTGATGGATGTTCCAGAGGTGGATCCATAGGGCATGGTGGCTGGTGGAAGCAGGGGTGGAGAATAACTGGGGTGTCTGGGGGGATGTTGATGCCACTTACTGGCCAAGAGACTAGCAGAAAGAACAGATTTTTTCTTCGTATGATTTCATCCAAGGAAGGAAGGCTGCTTCTTCCTGATCTTGGGAGCAAGTATTCTAAAACTCACCATCTATTCTGTTTTATTATGAGCCCTTTCTTTTCTCTTGGGCCTTATAAATAATCAGATGCTCCAGACTAGTAATTACTGATCGCAGGACAGGAGGTGCCTATGTTGATTTCATTCTCTGGGTCTTGGGGTGGAGGTCAAAGTCATGTATTTGTTTTTACCACATTTATAAGAATGGATACAGTTGGAACATTAGCCTCCCTCCTGTGGTAACAGGCACATGGGCCTCTTCTCTCCCAATTTCTGTAGCAAACCTGTTTAATTTAAAAGTTTTTTTCCAGTTTCTCCCTGTTCTTAGCCGGTTTCCTACAAAAAGTCATTGACCGCCCTGGACGGTTTGGCTCAGCGGTTAGAGTGTCGGCCTGTGGTCCAGAGAGACTCGGGTTCGGTTTCCGCTAAGGGCACGTACCTCGGTTGCAGTTTGTCCCCGGCCCTGGTTGGTCGTGCGGGTGGCAGCCATTCGATGTGTCCCTTTCACATCGATGTTTCTCTCTCTCTCCCTCCCACTCTATCTGAACAAAAAATGGAAAAATGTGCTTGGGTGAGGATTAAAAAAAATAAAAATAACAAAAAGTCATTGACCAAGATAAGGAATCCTGAACCCATCCTAGTTGGACTCCAGAGCCCTACCATTGCCATCGTTCTATATCAGAGTTGACCTGGATCTAGTTCTATAGGTCTGTGGCTGAACAGGTGTCTGGGGGCCTCTGCTGGTGGCACAGCTTTGCTGGGCATGAGTATGTCCTTGCTCATATAAGTACCCTGGTGATAGGATATCATGCCTGGCACTAATTAACATGAGCCCACCCCATAGAATTCTGTCCTTTGTCTTTTACTTTCAGCTTCCTCCTTTCTCTGCCTTCCTTCTACTTTCTTTCAACCAGAAATTTTTTCTAGCTGGTGAGTTTCTTAGTTTAAGGGATGCAGTTCTCAAAGTTCTTTTCTCTCCACCCCTTTTCCCATGAAGTAGTCACATTCATAACCCTCACTCTTCCAAGATGGCTCTTAGATGTTTCAAGTACACAGACCACTTTGGTGGGCAGAAAATCCTTCTGTTTGTCTCTGGAACTGGGTTGGGAGAGGGTGAAACTACTCAGACTGAGTGGGATGACTAGTTCCTCCTTTTAGGAAGCAACATTGAGAAGATATCTGTTATTTTCAGTGAACAGTTTACCCCACACTAATAAGAGTGACCATGGATACTGTCAGTTTATGAAATATTGTCATTATAGGACACTACCTTTGGACCATCGATTACATTGTACTGATTTCTAGGCTACTTTGAACCTTCTCTTGTAAACTAGGCTTCTCTAGCCTTGGCTTGAAGGTACTTTGTTGTCTTAAACCATCTAAAAGGTAATAGCTGTTTGTTTTTTGAAAAAAAGAAATCAGTATTTTTTTTAGTGACAAAACAAGGCATGTTCATTATAGAAAGTTTAGAAAATACAGAGAAACAAAAGTATGAAAAATCATCCATAATCCCACAATACAGAGAGAAGTACTGTGAACTTTGTAGCCTCGCCTTTTAGCCTTTCAAGAGAAAAATGTGTTTATGCATATATTTCTTAATTTTTATGGAATTTATTGAGGTGACATTGGTTAATAAAATTGTTTATGCATATTTTTAAAGAAATAATATACATGTCTTTTATAACCTTCACCTAATAGGATTATAAGCATCTTTCCATGTCATTGCAAGTTTTTTATAACATTATGTTTAGTGATTTCATAGTGGCCTAACTTATGTAGGGAATGAGAACATTATTAATAAAGTTAATATAATTTAATTTGAAAAAAATAATAAACACATCTTGAAGAGAGTACTAAGACGTTATAAAAAAAGTGAAGGGGGCATTCTGTCTTTCTCCTAAACTCTAAGGGCCCCCATAAGACTTGCAACTAGGGGAGCAGTGGGCAGCAGCAGCTTATCCCAGGCTAACCCTCTGAACCTGTCTTCAAGGCCTCCTTTTCTCTGACTTCTCTGTGAACCAATGCAGCCTCACCTTGGCCCACTTCTGTTACTGTGACTTTTACTTCTTAATGAGCCCTTGCAGCCCCACCTTGGCTCACTTCTTTCCTATAACGTTTCTAGAGAGGCAAACCAGCAAGTTGCTTCTTCTATCCTAAGCTTTTATCTTAAGCTCTTCTGTTGTTTCACTGTCCCCAGCTTTAATAAATGTACTCTCAAAATAAAATAAAAATAGCAATGGGGTGTTCAACATCCAAAGGGATAGGTTTCACAGCTCTGAGTAGCTTAAGCAATAATTATAGGCTTAATCAATTGGTAACTTAAATGGAACATGAATATTAATAGACTTGATCCCTTTATTCATCTTTGAGCTGAAGTTTTGTAAAATCTTTCTGGGTCTGAAAATGTTACAAGAAATATTCCTGTGGTATGTCAGTTTGCAAAAGGTAAATGATTTTGAATTCCTTGTTTTGCATTCAATGGAATTCAAGCCAAGAGGCTATCTGTGTGAGTTTCAATAGCACTTTGTATATCAGCAGATATTTGACAGGTGGTTATTTGAAAAGTTATTGAAAATTTCTTGTTTGGAGGCCCCTCTGAGTCTAATCCTGATTGATGTAGCTGGATTATTCCATACATTTATTTCTTTTTACAGGTAGTGCCTTCCTCAGTGCTATTTTTCTTGCCTTAGCAACATACCAGTCTCTGTACCCACTCACCTTGTTTGTCCCAGGACTCCTTTATCTCCTCCAGGTAAGTACTTGTTGGTCAGAAGCCAGCACTTACATGACATTTAATACATGACCTGGTCCCTGCTTGGGGGAAAGAAGGGCATGGCTCAACCAAGGCAATGGGACTGGGTCCCCAGTTCACACTTGCTTCTACTTACAAAGAAACTTGACTAACTTTAAAGTGGGCCTAATGATTATTATGCTCTAATTATGCATATCATTATAAATGTATAAGTGCATTTCATTTTATATACTGTAGTTGGGATCTACAAACCATTTTGCATTATCCTTTTCTCACTTACTATACTTAGACCCCTCTCTGAACTCATTTCTTTAACTTTTCTGTATAGCAACATTCAACCTGTAAGGTTCTTGTAGGGATTAAATGTAGTATGTACATGTGATGCAATGCTTGGACCATAGTGGGTGATCAATACATATTAATTAAAGGATACAAATTGCTAACATTTACTGAGAACTTACTACATGCTGGGCACTATGCTCATTTCAAACTCATAAGAACTTTATGGGGTAGGTCAAAATATTAGCTATGTATTAGTCTGATATTAGCCACGGTAGGCACAGGAATTGAAACTGGAATGTTGAGTGGTGCAGTCACTTGCCTAAGGTCACATTGCCAGCAAGTGACAGTGCTGAGATGTGAACTCAGGGAGTCTGACACAAGAGACTGCTCTCTAATCACATCTCTCTTTTCTATTCAAGTAAGAATACACACATCTCAAGGGATTAAACAAAGAAAAAAAAGAAAGGCTCATGGACACAGACAATAGTATGCTGATTGCCAGAGGGAAGGGGAGGTGGGGGAAGGTAGAAGAGGGCAAAGGGGAGCATAAATGGTGATGGAAGGAGACTTGGAGTGGTAAACACACAGTACAATATGCAGATGATATACGGTAGAATTGTATACCTGAAACCTACATATAATTTAATTAACCAATATCACCCCAATAAATTCAATTTAAAAAAATACACACATCTTCTCAAGAGCAAGGAAATGTTGATGTACATGACGATACATGGTTAGCTGGTTCAAATCTATTCTTAGAAGAGAAACATTTATTGAAAGCATAGAGAGGGTAGTGTCGGGATTCAAACCAAGAAATGTTTAATTTCAAAGCCATTGTTTTCATAACCAGTGGACACAGACAATAGTTGGGGGAAAGCAGGAGGGGGGTGGGAGTGGGGAGGAGGAAGTGGGGGAGAAAGGGGGGACATCTATAATATTTTCAACAATAAACATTTAAAAAACAGCCCTGGCTGGTTTGGCTCAGCGGTTAGAGCGTCGGCCTGTGGTCCAGAGAGACCTGAGTTCGGTTCCCACTAAGGGCATGTATCTCGGTTGTAGTTTGTCCCCAGCTCTGGTTGGTTCGTGTGGGTGGCGACCACTCGATGTGTCCCTTTCATCAATGTTTCTCTCTCTCTCTCTTCCTCTCTCTCCCTCTCACTCTATCTGAACAAGAAATGGAAAAAAAAAATGTCCTCAGGTGAGGATAAAAAAAAAAAAAAGATTTAAAAAACAAAAAAACACACAAAGCCATCGTTTTTTGATTGTTTGGTTTTTAATCCTTACCCGAGAGTATTTTTCCATTGATTTTTAGATGGTGTGGAAAGGAGGGAGAGTGAGAGAGAGAAACATTGATGTGGGAGAGAAACATTGATTAGTTGCCTCCCACAAGTGCAGTCTGCAACCCAGGTACATGCCCTTGACTGGGACTCAAACCTAAGACCCTTTGGTCTGCCATATGCTTGTCATTTTAATTGACTTCATAATATATCTTCGTATTGATGTACATGATACATGGTTAGCTTGGTCTTTCTCATTTGGGGATTTTGAGATGTGCTCTAGTTGTCACTAATATAAATAGTATAGAAACGAGTTTTCTTTAAGTTATTTCCTTAAGGTATGTTTTTTCAGCTGAATCACTGGACCCAAAAGTGTGAGAAGTTTAATAGTTCTTTTTCTTTTCCTGGGGCCGGGGACAAACCGCAATCAAGGTACATGCCCTTAGCAGGAATGGAACATGGGATTCTCTGGTCCCCAGGCCAATGCTCTAACCACTGAGCAAACTGGCCAGGGCTAATAGTCCTTATTAAGACTAGATTGTTCACCAGAAAGCCTGAGCCAGTTTGCAGGGCCATCATCAGTGTCTAAAGTTTAAGTGGACCACTTCCTCCCAGGATGCCAGTGGCTTTTTAAAAAATATATTTTTATTGATTTTCTTAGAGAGAGGGAGAGAGAGAGAGAAACATCAATCAGCTGCCTCAGACACGACCCCCCCCCCCCACACACACACACACACTGGGTATCAAGCCTGCAACTGGGGCATGTGCCCTGACAAGGAATCCAACTGTGACCTCCTGGTGTATGTGATGACACTCAATCCACTGAGCCACACCAGGCGCCATTGGCTTTTTATTTTTCGTAAAAATTTTTTCATTATTGATTTTAGAGAGAGAGGGAGAGGGAGAGAGAGTTAGAAATGTCAATGAGAGAGAACATCGATTGGCCACCTCCTGCATGCCCCCCATTAGGGATTTGGCTCACAACCTGGGGTGTGCCCTGACTAGGAATCAAACCCATGACCTCTGGGTGCATCATGGGTTGTTGCTCAACCACTGAGCCATACCAACTGGGCCACCATTGGCCTTTTAAATTTGACTTACAATTGCTAGTTTAACAGATGTGGCACCATACTGTGAAGTTATTTGCTTTGATTTTCTTTCTAGATTCTTTTTTAATGCAAGCATATTTCCACATAACAATGACTGTTTCTATTTTCTTTCTTACTTCATATTTACAGTTAATTCTCTTTTTTTTTTTTTAACTTATCTTGATTGTTGAAAGTATTACAGATGCCCCTTCGTTTTTCCCTCATTGACCTCCTGCCTTCCCCACACTATTGTCTGTGTTCATTAGTTATGCATATAAGTTCTTTGGTTTATCTCTTCCCAACTCCCCGCTCCCCCTTCCCTCTGAGGTTTGTCAGTATAACAAGCAATTTGTACTTCTTCTTTTTTTTCTTTTTTAAAAATCTTTATTGTTGAATGTATTACAGATATTCCTCATTTTTCCCCCATTGACCCCCTTCTCCCCCCTCCCGCATCCCTCCCGCCATTTCCCACACTGTTGTCTGTATCCATTGGTTATGCATATAAGTTCTTTGGTTTATTTCTTCCCACCCCCAAACCCTCTTACCATTGAGGTTTATAAGTCTAGCAACCGATTTGTACTTCTTAATCCCTTACCTTATTCACCCATTCCCCCAACCCCCCTCCCATCTGGCAACCAACAAAATGTTCTCTATATCTATGAGAATGTTTCTGTTCTGCCTGTTCATTTTGTTTGTAGATTCCATTGTTGATAGATATGTATAGATATGTATTCATTGCCATTTTGTTTGTTCATATATTTTATCTTTTTCTTCATCATTTCATATAATAACAATTTGGTGGTGATGAACTCCTTTAACTTTTTTTTGTCTGGGAAAGTCTTTATATGGCCATCGATTCTAAATGACAGCTTTGCAGGATAGAGTAATCTTGGTTGTAGGTTCTTGCTTTTCATCACTCTGAATATTTCTTGCCACTCCCTTCTGGTCTGCAAAGTTTCTTTTGAGAAATCAGCTGACAGCCTTATGGGAACTCCCTTGTAGGTAACTAGCTGCCTTTCTCTTGCCGCTTTTAAGATTCTCTCTTTATCTTGAACCTTTTGCATTTTGATGATGATGTGTTTTGGTGAGGGCCTCTTGGGGTTCATCTTGTTTGGGACTCTCTGTGCTTCCTGGACTTATATGTCTGTTTCCTTCACCAAGTTAGCAAAGTTTTCTGCCATGATTGTTTCAAACAGGTTTTCTATTTCTTGTTCTCTCTCTTCTCCTTCTGGCACCCCCAAGATGGGAATGTTGACATGCTTGAAGTTTTCCCAGAGGCTCCTTACACTATCCTCATTGTTTTGGATTCTTTTTTCTTTTTGCTGTTCTGATTGGCCTTTTTTTGCTTCCTTATATTCCATATCGATGGTTTGCTTCTTGGATTTACGTACCCTACTATTGAATCTGTATAAATTATTCTTTATTTCAGTTAATGCCTCCTTCAATTCTGACTGTGCATCCATAATTTCTGACTGGTCCTTTTTCATGCTCTTGAGGCCCTCCCTAAGTTCACTGAGGTTCTCACTAAGTTCATTGAGCATCCTTATAAGCAGTAGTTTGAACTCAGCATCTGTTAGGTTGCTTATCTCCATTTCGCTTAGTTCTTTTCTTGGGGTTTTGTTCTGTTTTTTCATTTGGGACCTGTTTCTTTGTCTCCTAATTTTGGCTGCCTCCCTGTGTTTGTTTCTGTGTATTACTTAATGAGAGGTATGGGGCTAGCTGAGACTAGATGCTGCTCGTTTGAAAGAATTTAGGAAAAACCTGAAGCAGGATCCAAGACAGGCCAATCCTATGGTTAAGCAAGTGGCAACAGCTTGGGTGGGCCTGAACGTTGGGTGGGGTGAGGTGGGGCCTCAGGGAGTCAGCAGGGCAGGACTACCAGTGTGAGCCAGGTTTCTGGAGTCCCAGATATGGCGGCTGTCTGCCGCCCCAGGGAAGGGCTCACCAAAAGAACAAAGGCCTCTGACAGCATGTTTGTCCCAGAGAAAGCCCCCTCTCCAGCCCTTGCTCCAATGCCAAACAGCTCAGTTCTTCCCTGTATCTCTCTGGTGCCCTTGAGCTGCCTCCCCTCCAAGCTTAGAGGGAGAGAGTCCGATAAGTTTGTGCGCGGGCCCTTTAAGGAGCTGCCTGGGGCTCCAGCCGCTTCAGCTTCCCTGAGCCTTAGTTCCCGCTGGTTTTTCCAGCCAGAAGTTATGGGGATTCTCTTCCTGGCACTAGAACCCTGAGCGGGGCACCTGGTGTGGGACAGGGATCCCTCAGTCCTCAGGAAGGACATTCCCAGCCGAGGTATCCTTCTGATTTTTATCCGCCACACGTGGGTGTGGGACCAGCCCGCCCCTCCGCCCCTCCT